CCTTACTGCTCCTATGATACTGCTTGGCCTGCTGTGTTCATCCAGCTCTGCACCTTGTTGTCTCTTTTATCAAAAATTTACACCGGGCTCCAACACTTAAATTTGCGTAAGACCGCGGCCAGGCTGTGAACCTATACCTGTGAACCCCTTCAGATTAAAGCTACATTTTCAGTTCTGGTCTCATGTGAGAAACAGTTACTACCAATTGCAGTAAAAGGCTCAAGCGCCCTTCTACTTGGGTTATAGAGTTGACAAGACCAGGTTACACCCATTGGAAGATGAAGTGAGGGTGCTCAAAGATGCCCTGGCTCCCACATCTGTACTGGAGATTAGGTATTTCCTTGGGTTGGTGAACTATTGCAGAAAATTCATACGTAATCCGGCCTCCATACTGGCACCCTTACATCTGCTGTTGCAAAAAGGGTCAGTCTCGGAAATGGTCTTGTAGCCAAGATATAGCCTTTCGGGAAGTGAAGAAGCAGCTATCATCAGCTATGATGTTGACACACTACGATCCCAAGCTAGATGTGGTGCTGACATGTGATGCTTTCCCATACAGTATTGAGGTAGCGTTTGACTCACCAGGGGCCCAGCAGAGAGAATGCCCAATAATATAGTCTTTACTGACTTTGGCCGATACTGAACGAAAAATACACCCAGAAAGAAAAGGAACATTTGGCATTCATCTTTGGTGTGAGAAAGTTCCACCAATTCTATTACAAGTTCACATCTATAAAAATGTAACAGACTACAAACCTGATAGGGCTGCTTAAAGAGGACAGGGCCATGCCGTCCATAGCTTCAGGTTGAATTCAGTGGTGGGCTCTAATGTTAAGTGCATACAATTACAAGTTGGACCACCATGCAGGAGGCCAAGTGGCACATGCGGATGCATTGAGCAGCCTCCCACTGACAGATACACCACCAGTGGGGCCACCACTGGAAGAGTCCATTCCGGTTTTAAATTTTCTGGACACACTTCCAGTCACCGGTAACAATATAAGACTGTGGACACAAACTATCCCATCCTGGTAAAACTATAATAGCTGGTGCTGATGGGGAAAACAAAAGGGCCATCACAACCAGAACTGAAACCTTTCTGAACCCGCTGAGACCAGATCACCATAGAGGATGGCATTTTATTATGACGAGCAAGAGTGATTGTCCCAAGCAAAAGTCACTACCTGATACTGGCTGAACTCCAGAAGGGTCATCCAGGGGAATCCATAATGAAGATGATGGTGAGAAGATGTGTCTGGCAGCTAGGATTGGATAGTGACATAGCCACGTTGGTGGGACATGCCCAGAGTGCCCACAAGGACAAATAACTGCCAGCAGCTCTCCCACATTCATGGGAATGGCCAGGTAGACCATGGGCTCGGTCACACATCGACTTTGCTGGTCCTTTCATGGGATCTATGTTCTTAGTCATTGTGGACACCCATTCAAAGTGACAATGAGTGAAAAGCTGCGAGCATCTTTTGCGAGACATGTACTCCCGGGGGTGCTGGGCACAGACAATGGGCCATCATTTACCAACACGGAATTTGAATATTTCCTAAACTGGAAAGGCATTTGCCATGTAAGGACAGCTCCATACCATCATCCAATGGTCTGGCGGAAAGTGCAGTCCAAACTTTGAAGCCAGGCTTAAAAGAAACAGCCTACATCTTCACTCAGTAACAAACTGTTCCAGTTCCTTTTTGATTATAAGACCAACCCTCATTCAACTACAGGGATAGCTCCAGCTGAGTTACTTAAGTGGAGAAGACTCCGCACCAGGTTAAATGTGATCTTGGGGTCATGCTGGGTGGCGGAAGGCTGGGCTGGATATTACTGCAGAAATTGGCAAGCAAGGTGACAGTAGATAGCCAGCTTGCACCCTCTGCCATCCAATGCCTGACAATGGCGGTGCTTGGACCCGATGTTGTGCACTTGTTGGACCATGCTCAGGCGAGTGTGGGAGTCCCATCTACGTGTACCCCAATGGAACAGAATTCAACATACCTCCTTTGGGAGCCTGTACGCCACAGCCTAGGCTGCTTCGGAATGTGTTGTACATCTTTCAGGGAGGCAGAACGGCAGGCTCCGTACAGACTGCTGTTAGACACCATCTACCTCCACTCCTTCATCCATCGCCTTGGCATGCTTGTTTAGTGCCAGGTAGCAGGGATCCGCAGTGGAGGGCTCTCTATGTGGGAGCTCTCCCTGTTTTTCCCTCAGGGGCCTGGGATGGAGAGCGTTGCAGGCAGCAGCCCCTTACAATTGCAGAATGCAGTGGTTCACAGACTGCAAGCCCAACTGCTTATTTTGCAGTGTTGTGGAGTCTATGGACAATGTGCATACTGGGTTTGGGCATTTAAACTCCCTTTTTAAAAGTTACTTTATGTTTTTAGTTGCACTTCAGCCCCATGCTTCTGGTCTTTAGGGCATCTAGTGCAGGTAGATCGGAGATCCTCCTTGTGCTTCTGGTTCTGGTTCTGGTTCTGGTCCTGGGCTTGGCCAGGCTGGCTACAAAAAGGTCTAGGCAGCAGTCTGTGGAAGGGGTCCTCACTGCTGACTGCCTGCCTGTCTTCCTTCTGCAATTATATATGGACCTGGGTGCCCTGCATTTAGGGAAGAGGTAGGCACCACAGGGAAGAGTGTTTTTATTTCCCCTTCAACTCCATTGTGATTTAGTCTCATCTTTCTCTCCCTAAACACCACCTTCCCTTAACTTTTTGATATCACACAGATGCTTTCCTGGTGCTGGAAAGCACATAACACAGACTTGGCACAGCGGTGTCTTCGTGCACACACAGCCAGGGGTGATTAGAGGCAATATAAGCAGTAGCACTGGGTGCGTGGGTAGTGTGGAGGAATGAGGGGAGGAGAAAAATATTGGAGTGGTAGGGATTCTACTTACTCTAGGAGCCAGCTCTGAGCTAGTTGGGTTAGTAGAAGGCCACTCCACAAAGGCCAGATAAGTGTATGCTGATGCAGAGGCCCCTGTCCTGGGCCAAAAATGGAGGGAAAAAAAATTTAAGTTATCTTCCAGGAAGGGTGAAACAGCATCAGGAGTGCTGATACTGGACACAAGACTTCTCTAACAGAGAGTTTACTTTAGGGGAACCAAAGGTGGCATTACAACCATAGGAATGGCCTTGGATGGGTAAGAGGCATGGTCTACATATGGTCAGGTCCCATGACATGCAAAGCTCAGGTAGTAAGGGGGTCCTGAACAAATACAGGGACCCTATGAAAGCTGCAACTTCAAAAATAGAGCAGGAGCAAAACACCTGATGAGGCAGTCAGAACCCTTTAGGTTCTTTTCCCCCTCCATTTAGTATTGAAAAAGCCCAAGAACTAGATAGACATGGCCAATAGCACAGCCTTACTGCTGTTACTACCAGATGAAGATGGATTTCTTTCGACATGCTACAAGTGCAAGAGGCAGGCTTATAGTCCAGTACATACTACTTGTGTCCAAGGGTGGGGGGAAGAAGAGGAAGAAAAAGGAAAGAAGTGCCCTGGAGAAGGTGCAGGAAAAGAACAGGCCATGTTCCTGGACTTGGTAAGGGAGGGATGCACTGCTAAGAATGAGCTCAGCCCCATGAGCCCTACAGAATGACTTCGCTGGTTGGGCCAAGTTAAACAGCCCCAGCCCCCAGCTATAAACAGGAGTGTCAGGGATTATGCTCACTGTCGGAGCCAACTCCAAGCTAGCTGGGTCAGTGTCATCTAATATTCACGTGTAAATAAAGGGTGACTTGCTGATGGGATAGGGGCCTTTGGGGAGTTATTTCACACACAGACAGGAATATCAAAAAAAAAAACAAAAACACAAAATTCCAAAAAAATTCCAAAAACTACAAATTCACTTGCCAGTTAATAGCTTCAATGCAAGTTAAAACAATATCCCCACCTTAATTCATAGGGAAGCTCCTTGAAACTAAATAGTTTTCAAACTTTTGTCTTAATTAAAAAAAATTAAAGCCAATTAAGGCATATGATTCCAGCTTGCCAAAAGTTGATCCTACTTTGGATATTCAGGTTTTGAAATTATTTTCATTGAATTTATGAAGAATATTTAACAGGGTATATGTACAAATAAGTACAAATTTAGTTTTGAAACAGTACCATCACCATTCCAGCGGTTAAAAGAAGCATTTCAGATTAGATAAAAATACCATAACTATGGAGATTCTGGTGCTCTTTAGTACCAAGTCTCAATACAGCATTTTAGTTAATTTTCAGTTTCATTTAGGATACAGGTCCTGACCAGGGCTTCAGTGACAGCATAAGGGTCACAGTTTGCAGCTGGTCTTCTGTCCTCAAAATATCCACAATGATCTTGTCCAACTTGGCGAGGAATTCGAATGCTAGCTCCACGGTTTGCAACTCCAGCAGAGAAGTCATGGATGTTGGAGGTTTCGTGTTGTCCAGTTAACCTTCTGGAGTTATCCAACCCTCCTTTTGGATCATACACACGGATGTGGTATGCATGCCTCTTACTCAGCTTTTCAATGGCTTCTTCAATATACCTACAGCAAATTTTGTGCACAAAATTAAGAGTCTGTTTAGTCATGCTCAGCTTGGAATATTTCAACATAGGTTCACTTTAAAAATGAAGTGGGCACATTCCATAAGTGAGTAAGTGTAGGACATTCAGCCCATTAAGTTATGGCTACTAGGTTGTGGTCTTCACTCCAGTTCTACCTGTTCCTCCATAACTCTCAACATGCTCAACTACATGACTTGGCCTACATGGAATTCCTTCAATGCACAGGACTAATTTACCCTGTGCAATGTATTCCTCCTAATCAAAATATGGGATTGCCTAATCAAAGCAGATGTGTCAACTATGTCTAGAGTTCCCTTTGAGAAGGGAACAATCTCAGCATCTACCAAGCCTCCACAGAATTTTTGCATGATTCACAAAGATCATCTCTCATTTTAAGTGAGAATAGATATAGGAACAAGCAACTAAGCCTTCCTTACATGAAAGGCTTGTTAGGAATCAGCCTAGCGACCTGGTCTATACAGACCTCCCTAAAAGAGGAGAATGCAGTATTACAAGTGTGCTCTCATCCATGCCCTGGAGTTCTATAGAATAACCAAAAATGGCTTAATTAAAATGACATGACCAGAGTAGATGGGGCTTGAACCTAAACCTTCCTGACCCAGTGTTAGGGACATGACCACTATGCCACAAGGGCGCAATGCAACTGTAGCAAGATGTCTAATTTTGTAGCCCAGCATCCTTATAATAAAAGGAGGTCAACAGCCAATTTGCATTTTTAAAAACTTGCATATTGGTATGCAGGTTCAACAAGAACACCCAGATCTCATGTGCATTACAGTGTTTTCCAGTTAGACAATATTCTACACTTCTTGCCAAAAAGAGAAGCAAATATTTTCCCCACATTATACTCTTACTCGAATTTTTTGTCTACTTGCTTAATCCATCCTTCCCTTTCAGAAAAGGAAAACTGCTCACAACTTGCTTTCTTACTCATCTTTGCATGACCAGCAACTTTGGTTACAACACATTCATTAAGATCTATATTAATATTTGAATTAAATTCGAGGCCAGCACTGATCCCCATAAGACTCCACTAGTTATTAGTTCACAAACCAGAAGATTGCCCAAACTTCCAGATGGTTTCCTGACATTTGTCTAGTTCTCGAAAACCATGATAATTCTCTGCCCATGACAAACCCTCACCCCTACAAACAGAGTTTCATCTGCAGTAAAGTACATCAAAGACTTTACAGAAATACATTTACTGGTTCCTCTTATCTACCCTGCATGCTACATCCAATAATTTGAATACATTTATTAAACACTGCTTTCTTTTCATAAAGCATATTGGCCGTCAGATTTACTACAATTTTTAACAAAAGTCTTGGTATTACTTCCTTGGAAATCCTAACATCCCTCATTGAGGCTGTTAGATCTCCTGGCCATGCCTCCATTGTCCTTCTTGGAGGGGCATTAGACTTGCTGTTTTCCAATCAGCTGGCATCTCTACATAAAGAAAAAAGCAAGGATTTTGGAAGCTTCCAACTGATGCACCCATCTCCTTGAAGATCCTTGATGCAAACCTTCAATTCCAAAGAACTGGTCAGTCTTCAGTGCCATCAATTTTTAGTACATTTTCTCTGACAATGAAATTCAACTGGTTCACTTTTTTGGTCCTCCCCATTTTTCTACTATTCTGGGGTTGTCTGGGTGGGTATGGTCTTCTACTGGAAAGACAATTTGATCCATGTCTCTATTACCTTGCTTCCCCAATATTTAATTCTCCTCATCTCAGCCTCTGGAATGCACACCATCACCATTTTCCTTTTCATATACACTTCTGGACATTCTCTCCCCCCACCCACCCCATAGGTTTTTCTGCATTTATCACAATTACTGTTAGTTTCTCTTTGTTGCTTTATCTTTTGCTTTTTATGAAGTTTCCACAATCTCTTGGGCCTATCACTAGCCAATGCTGTAAAGCTAAGGAGAGATGAGCAATCAGATACCATCAGTTGGTGCATTCTTAAAAAAAGCGCAATTGGCTGGAAGAGTTATTAACCATCACATCTACCACTGCTTCTCCTACTTTCTTTTAAAAAAGGAAGACAAATTTCCAGACCATTAATCCACGATTGTCTGCATGGCTTTGTAATTACCTTTGAAGTTTTATAGTTCAGACTCAAATCTCCCACAGACTAAAAAAAGTGAAATTGAATCACATTGTTAGTAAAAAGATGTCCCCAACGGTGTGAAGAGTAGATGGAAGAGGTTTGAACAGATGGGTAGGTAGTGGAGATAACGTTGAGGTTCATCTGGTTTCCAGGTTGGGTCTGGGGTGGTGATAGTTTCAGTAGATGATATTGAAGCCCAATACCACCTACTGTGGTCCAGTCAAACCAATTACAGTCATGTTTGTAAATGTCACATCTGAGGGGAGAAAAGAAGCTTACCAAGGCAACAACTCCAAGCTGGGAACAAATATTTTGTTTTGCAGTTGGGAATTAAAATTTAGTTATAAAATCACTGAAGATCATTTCAAGGGAATGAAGGAGGACATTGAGATGAAAATCTCGTGCTTCTTCACAGTACTAAAATCACTTCAAGAAAGAAATGTATCACCTTACATGATCCTGACAGTATATTTTAATGCCATGCATTTTTAATATAATTGAGCCCATGATACTAGTTTCTCAATTTTCAGCTCAGTCAAATAATTTAAATAGTCTTACTGAAGGCCCCCTTCCTTTCTCATGGCCTCTGTGCTGAAGTTAGCATGGCATCCAGCTCCATTCCAGTTTCCAGTTATTGGCTTTGGGTCAAATGTAGCCACAACTCCAAAGTCTTCACAAATGCGATGAAGAATGTATCTGGCAATCCACAAATGATCTCCCATTTCAATCCCTTCACATGGCCCCACTTGATATTCCCACTGGAAGAGGAGATAGACAAGTTCATGGTTTATTACAATTTCCAGTGAAGAGAGAGAGTTAGGCATGCGTGCAACCTCTCCCAAACTTGATACCTGTGATGGCATGACTTCAGCATTGGTGCCTGATATCTTCACTCCAGCATAGAGGCATGCTTTATAGTGAGCTTCCACGATATCTCTACCATAGACTTTATCTGCTCCAACTCCACAATAGTAGGGTCCTATTATATATAAATTGATTAGCATGCAGCAGCTTAAGTATGCAGAATCTACAACACAATTCTAATAGATTTCATATCTCTTTCAACTTTAATTCTTAGCTCCTCTTTATCAGAAGTAATTTTGCCAGTTAGGAATATTTTCCATGTTGCCTCCAAACTCAGGTAACTGAATACATCATTCATCCCCTTCTACCCCCAGAGAAGGGGTCAAGGAAAGTAACAAAAAAGGTCTAGAAATTTAGTAGACAAAAAAGGAGAAGATATTACTACTGTTGCATTTATCAGACTGCTGCAATATAGACCAGACTTTGAGTGTGGGATAAGTGGGTGTAATGTGTCAAATTTGATGGGTAGGGGTAGTGGTCGAGTCATCTGCAAGGGCAGGACATTCAAAAAGTGGTAACCAGACATTAGCAGCTATATATGAATAAAAGAAATGGAAATAGATTCAAGAGATTGTGGTACCACAACCAACTGAAGCCACGAGAGCAGAGACCACATTGTTGTTAGAACTTGTATGATGTACGTGCATGCCGACTCATTTCATAGTTGAGCACATTTAGATCCCTCTTGTACAGAAACATTCTGGAGTCTTACCCTACTTTAGGGAATATTTTGCTCATCTAGGGAAATCATCATTTCCACCCACTAGATTCCAACTGCTAAATCTTAGCGATGATCTCCCTAAAAATGTCAACTTTTACTTACTATCTTACCTTTCAATTCATTTTACTAGTCCACTTCAGCCAACTCTGCCATGGTTATCTTTGCAATTGCTTTTATTTAGAAGACTAGCTTCAGACCACAGTTTCTCAACTTGGAATGAAATGTTAAATCCTGCAACGTTATGATCAATCTTTTCTGAATGATCTTTTTCTTGAAAGATTTATTAACCATGTTTCTCACAAGATTTTAAGATAGCTGGGTGCTCCACCTGTTTCCAACTGAATAATTCCAATAAAATATCACCAATATGTTCCACGAACCTTTCTCAATACTACTTTTGTACATATTAGACAAAATCAAATTGGCAGAGAGTTAAGTTTCCAAACATTGTGACAGTACATTTTGTACAATTCAATATTCTTTGAAAACTATATTCTGACAGATTACTTACTGTTGGGAGGCACTTAAAACTACTTTGTGACAATTTGCTCTCCTCCCTCTAAACCAGTTCCAAGTTTTTGGATCTCCAAGCCAATTTCTTCCTAACATTGCAGTTACTTTAAATTAAGAAAGGAGAGCTATTCAAACTAATTTTCTTAGTGCCAATTTTTTTGTTTTAAAAGAAGTGTTCCATACCCCATTTCAATTTGGTCACTTTACAATCATGCCTTTATACAATAAGATCACGTCTGCATCAATTAAGCCCTTATTACAAATGCTGCATTCAAAGAGCATTCAATTTCCTTTTTGACTAGTTGACAGCATACTAGTGTTTGTGGATTTAGTCCCCTCCTGTCACATTCTGGTTATTGTTACCTATACTGGAGGATGGCAATATCAAAATGACCTTTCTGCCCCTTCAGTTAATGTAATCCTAGCTACAACCCTAGTTATCCTATTCACTAGGATATCAATCCCAACTCACTTTAAGTGAAGCTGGCCTAACAATAGCTTATTAACTTTGTACTCAACTGATCATATTGAACTAATGCAGAAAACAGGTACTACTACAAAGCTTAAGATATAAGCCACAAAAATCAACAATCCACAGACAAGAACAGCAGCACAGAACAGCCGCAGAATGATAAGGGTTATGATCACTGATGCCCATAACCACCTCCACAAATAAGAAATCTTTTTACGCCAATGCAACCAGCCAAGAATGGACAACACACTAGAACAAGCCATCACCATACAAGTGACCAGAACAAAAAAGCATAGCCCTACAAGAAAAAGCTATCCAAAACCACCCACAACATGGATCAAGAACATCTCAGACCAACCACTAGAGAAGACAGTCTTAGTACGTGGGCTGAACTATAACTAGAGACGCCCAAAGAGAAAAGAAAATAACTTCCTGGGTGCAATGGAATCAACACTAAAGAAAAAAAAATGCACTCAGGAAATACAAACAGACCAGACAGACGACAGTCCCAATACTGAGCGGATAAAGGATGCGGAACATGCTCACAAGAGAAGCAAGCCCAGGAAAGACTCAAGACAGAAACATTGTAATCTTACCAGTGGACAAAGGAAACATGATAGTAATCCTTAATAGAGCCAATACATAGAGAAAGCTAATGCACTACTCGCAGATACCAACAGGTGGTGATAGACCCAACAGTTAGGGAACCAGATCAAAACAACCCTGAAGAAACTACTAAAAAAACTTAAATCAGCTAGACAGACGACAAGAAAAACAAAGCCAGAGGGATCCAACACATCCCGCTTCAAAAGACTCCAAGGTACACAAATCAGGGATCCCCATTGTCTCACTACCA